GGGATTTAGCTCAGCGGCAAAGCGCCTGCCTGGCAAGTGCAAGGTCGTGAGTTCGGTTCCCGGTACCGGAGAAAAACCAAAAAAAAAAAAAAAAAAAAACAAAAAAAGAAAATGCTTCAGCTCATTCTGGGCCTGGGAGGGGAAAATACACCATGAGCTCAGAGCTGCTTGAGAGAGCAAAAAATAAGGATGTGCTAAAAAGCACAGCAAAAAATATACAGTGGTGGAAGCTTTGTCAGACGGAATAACCACTTTGAAAGTGCCCAGTGGTCAAGGCTTGAACAATATGAGCGACAAAATAAATGACAAAGAGGTGGATTAAAACCCCAAGTACAAAACAAAAATACATGAATCCACACTGATATAAATCCACCACTGAGGACACGAATACCTGCGGGGAAGGCGCATTCTTCCTTACAGGAGAATTTAACAGACGGGGGCTGTGCCCTCCGGGAAGTGCAGCCCCACCACCACCAGGTTGCTTCTAAAAAGTAAAGTATGGAAAGGAAAAAACTAGTAACCTTAGGATGGAGAACCCTGGCAAACAGCACCCTAAGCAGCAATGACGTGACCGTCACCAGGGAAGTCACGGATTCTCGGTGCTACCTCCCACGTGATGGGATGGTGAGGGTGCTTCATGCTTGTCCTATGCTGTCTGCAAGTTATCACCCCAGTCTGATCAGAGAGAAACGTCAGCCAGACCCAGGTTGGGGGACATTTTCCAGGACCCTTGGCCAGTGCTCCTTAGGACTGTCAAGGTCGTGAGAATCAAGGGAAGGTCCCGAAATTATCACCGAGCAAGGAGACTAAGGACATGGGATGACTGAGTGCAACGTGGGCCCTGGGCTGGGGTGTCGATCTTGAAAGAGTTCAGCATAACATGCCGAGGTGGATTTCATGCGTGCGTGTGTGCGTGTGTGCTGGGAATTAAACTGTGGTCACACAGGTGTAACCCTGGGGGACTGTAAGGGGGGGGTCTATAGAGCTTTGTGCTATCATTACAAGTTTTCTGTAAATTCACAATTATGCAGACATTATAAAGGTGTTCTACAAAAGGGAGGCACCAGAATGAAAATAGCACAAAATCCAGGTACAGCTAAGGATGTAGCTTCCTCATGGGGGGCCCTTTGGATCCACTTCCGCCCCTGTTTCCTCCGATTCACTCTATGCTGCCCTTATAGTAGCACATGACTGAAAGGACAAAGAAAGGAGGAAGTCGCCACACAAAGGGGACACAGCCCTGGCCCCAGGTAGACTGTAAATGCAGCCGTCACAGCTAGCAGCCAGCAGAGGGCGCTATTTGTCCTGCCACCAAACAGCTTCCCTCACCCTGATTGATCCGAGGGCATCTCCGCAATGGGGTAATAATTCTGAATCCAGCCCAAAAAGGATAAATTACGGTCAGCATTTTCAGTATGAGAAAGCAAGATAATGTATTGCTTAACGCAGAAATGCCGAGTTATGTAGTATTTTTAAGTTCTGGAGCTTAAAGACCTAGGTCTCTTTGATGGGCTTCAGAAGAGCCATTACCCTGGGCTCTGGCTGTGGGGGTTCAAGGACCTCCCAGCGCACCTGGCCCATTTTAGCTCCCTGCCTTTGTAAATCTTCTAGCTAAAGGATTACTTCCTTTCCAGTTCTAACATGTTTCCTGGTCAGCCCATAAAACAAAAAAAGAGAATTTGCTGAGAAAAATCTCTAGATTTTTGCAAATGGCATTTTCTTCCAAAGCTCTTGGCCACTCCCCGCTCGAGGTTAGGCAAAGGTCCCATGAGGGGGGGAGGCACAGCTTTCCCAAGGATGGGTGACTAAGCCCCAAGTCTGGGTGGAGGACCAGCCCCGCCTCTTCCTGTGAGGCAGCCCAGTGCAGATGCGGACTACCCACCCTTTCCCTTCTGTCCCCAAGCCCCATCCCTGACCTTGGAAGGAAGCTCAGCTGGGTGTAGGAATGCTTTGTATTGCCATGGACTCTCCCCCCAGCTACATTACACCCATTTTCCCATTTTCCGGGCATTTCCTCTTTCCCTTAAATTTTCTATGGGGGGACATCCTTCCTTCCCACCATCCTGAGCCCCTGTAACTGTGGTTAGGCTGATCCCCTCTACCCCAGAGGAAGAAGTGACCCAGTCCTGGCCAATCAGAACTGACCCCTCTAGCTTTTCAGGTTTTTGTTTTGCTTAGACTAGAGTTGGGGTTCTACTTGCTAACAAAATTTCCTGGACAATATGCTTATCGAAACAGCACAAGTAGCACTATGTACTCAGAATGAAAGGTATAATACAGGCTCTGACATGCCCAAATAAAACACACCAGGCTATAATCGTGCAGCAAATTTTCCTTTAACTTATAAAAGTAAAGCAGTGACCCAGAGAAGACATGATTTAAGACCAGAGAACCAGTCATAAATGAATGGTAAAACATTAAACAAAGAAACTCAGAAGAAACAAACAGTTCCCAGGCTATAGCTGATTTCAGATTATAAAACCCCACATTTCTGCTTCAAAAGTCATACCAGGGAAAACATTCCATGGTTTTAAAAGAAAACTTTCCAATTACAGAAACAAGTAAAGCTGGGTATGGTGGTGCACTCCTGTAATCCTAGCACTTGGGAGGCTGAGGCAGGAGGATCGCTGCAAGTTCAAAGCCAGCCTGGGCTACATATTGAGTCCAGGCCAGCCTAAACTACATAAGTGAAACCCTGTCTCAAAAAAAAAAAAAAGAAACAGGTAAAATTTAAAATATATGTCTGCTGTGCGTATTATATATTAGCATACAGTATATTTATCAGATGTGTCAGTATAATTCTATTATTGCTATATACACAAATGCATATAGATGTATATGAATAGAGTGACATATTTCCAAGCTTTGTTTTAAAGAGAAAATGACAAGTTTATTCAGGGTCTGTTTTTCCATTAAGTTAGCTGTTAATCAGTTCCTGACAGACAGTATCAGCTCAGAATGCCTCAGTTCTTTCTGCTCCCCTTGACCCTAAAATGGACTAAGTGGACTGAAATGAGAGGCAGTACAGCTGAGTGTTAAAGCAGACAGTGGTAAACTTCTGTAGGAAGGCTGATAGCGAATAGTTTTCCTTTTGTGTGCTGAGGATCTCTGTCTACTCAGCCTGTCCTTGGATCAAGCAATACTGAAATAAATGGGCAAGGCTGTGTTCCAATAAAACTTTATTTATAAAGACAAATGATAATGTACAGTTGGTCCATGGGCTGCAGTTTGCCCAACTCTGGTCCTGGCAGCCTGTGGAGTCACTGAGGGCTGTACCTTTGGAGAGCATTTGCCTAGCTGCCTACAGGCCCCCATCCCCAGGATTCTGGCTACAGCCTTATCCCAGGAAGGACTGTAAGCCCTGAAGTTCGGCCACACAGTGTTGGTGAGGCATGCGCACCATCTCCCTGGGTCATGGATATAGGCATCACTTTTATGTTTGCTGTGAACGAAGCACCACACTGAGTTTTACAACAATAATGGATCTATTTGATCCTCAAAACAAGGCTGTGGGGTTATCATTGCTGTTGCAGCTCCACTGTGTTGCTGAAAAGACCCAAGTTCTGAGGGATCATGAACCTTGCTCAGGAGCACCCGGGCTAAGTTGTGGGAGCCCAGGGGACCTGTTGTCCCTAACCACCCCCACACTGCCTCCACACCCCACACACGCTCCTTGTGACCAAGATTTCGTGGGCAAGTTTTACATCATATTTCATTAAACAAAGACTACATTTAGGCTGAGATCCCAGGCACATTTCTGACCTGTGCATAATAGTAGGACTCCCGTGCTGAGCAAGCACCTATGGGACACTGAATTTCTCCTAACGCCATGAACCATGGAGAAGGAGGCTCAGACAAGCAGAGAACCCTCCCCAGCTTGCGGAGCGAGCAAGCAGCAGAGGACTGACCTACCTAGAAAGGAAGCATCCACCTCTGTTTTCCAAAGCACACACTGCTGGCCACCTCCCCCGCTGCTGCTGCACTGGGCCTGGGCCCTTGGCAGTGGGTGCATCGCCATGACTCCCTCTCCTCCCCGAGAGCTGCCAGGATGGCCCTCAGCTTCCCAAGGAGGCATCTTGTCACTGCCACGATGTGCAGAGTGAAACTGCGGGGCGATCCTTTGGGATGAGCTCTACTCTTTGGCTACATGGGAGGGGACCCTGCATGGAACCTCGTGCCCCCTGACTGCAGCGGCCCAGGCTCACCTGGGGTGGGTTTTCGATGACCAGCTCATAGGTCAGCCCAGTAGACCCGAACCTCAGGATGTCCCCAGGTATCAGCTTCACGGCCACATTCTGAATGTGGCATTCATTGACAAACGTGCCGTTGCAGGAATTGAAGTCCTGGAGAATAAAGCTGCCCTCAGCCTCATTGTACTCAATAAGCGCGTGGTGGTTGTCGATGTCTGCGGACTGAAGTAGAGAAGGCTCGTCAACACCGTGAAAACAAAAGTCACACGGCCCCTGACACTCACTAGAGCTCACTGGGTGCAAAGCGCCACCTGTGTAACTTCGCTGCAATCCTCATTTTAGAAGGAGGATGCTGATAATCAGAGAGACTAAGGGATTCGCCCAAGGCCACACGCCTAGTGCATGATTTTTTTGTTTATTGTGATTTGGTTTTTTTGAGTAAGGTCTCACTATGTAGTTCAGGCTGGCCTTAAACTCACTATTGTAGTCCAAACAACCTTGAACTCACGGTAATCCTCCCGCCTCAGCCTTGCCAGTGCTGGGATCACTGGCATGTACCACCATGCCCAGCTGAGTGTGTCTATGCCTGACAGTGGGTAACAGGAGCTCCTCTGTGATTTCTCTTTAATAAGATAGAGCAAAGTTGAGCCTTGAGGAGGCCACATCCCCCGCCCCTGGACACAGGGCCCTGAAGAATGGGAGGACATGTCCTGGCTGCTGGTTGCAAGTCACTCCGAGGTAATTGTACTTTTTGAGATGAGGTCTCACTTTGTTACCCAGGCTGACCCGGAATTACTGGACTTAAGCACATCTCCTACCTCAGACTCCAGAGTAGCTGGACTACAGATGTGCATGTATCACTACGCCCGGCTAAGTCCTCTCTCTGTTAAGGGCACAGCCTACCAATAATCCACAGCAGCCTCAGACATTGTAATTATTTTCTAAGTTAATCTTCTCAGGGTGTACTAATCAGGTTTCATAAAAAGGCACTCACACTTAGAAATCTAAAATCCCATTGTGTATTAATACTCAATAGCTTTATTAACCATAGAATATATTCATATATAAAGGAGTAACAATATAATTAAACAGTACATGCCAGAAAATTTTCTAACTGCTTTATTGCATTGTTTCATTTCATCCTCACAACAATCCAGAGAGGATTCTCCATTTTGTACATGGGGAAACCTAGGCACACAGAATGATGGAATTCTGTGAAGTCAGTAGCTTGATAACTCTGGCTTATGCCCAGGTTTTCCCAATTAAAACACTTCTGTTCTTATCCACTTTGCAGTTTCCACTGAGCACTTTGGCCCTCTAAACATGGAACCACCAAAGAAAGCTGAATTGTCTAAATTAACTTCAGGCAAAGCAGACTTCAGAATAAGAAGAACTTTTGGGGACACAGAGAGGCATTGCAAAATGATAGAGATCAATTCTCCAAAACAAACACAGTAAGATTTAACATATATGCACCTAACAATAGAGTGTCAAAATACATAAGGTAAAAACCAATAGAACTTCAAGGACTAGAACTGCAGGCCCACACTTACATCTCAGATATTAGCATTCCTCTGTCAGTAATGGATGGATCCAGTGGGCAGAAATTAGTATGGGCACAGATGGTTGTACAGCACCATGGGTAAACTTATCCAAATGACATTTATAGAATATTTAATCCAACAATAACAAAACACACATTCTTCTCAGGCTTATATGGTACACTCACTCTCCAAGATAAACCACACTCTGGGCCATAAAACACACTGCAACAAATTTAAAAGAACAGAAACTCTGCCAAGTCTGCTCTGAGACCACAATGGAATTAAACTAGAAATTAGTAACAGAATGATTGCTGGAAAATCCTAAGATATTTGAACATTAAACAACACACTTTCAAATAATACATGGGTCAAAGAAGTCTCAAGAGGAGTTAAAAATAATTGTAACAAATGACAGCAAAAAATATAACTTATCAAAATTTGTAGGATGCAGTAAAAGTCATTCTTAAAAGGAAATGTATAGCATTGAATCCATAGATAACAAAAGAAAAAAAGATCTAAAATAAGTTTTCACTTTAGAAAACTAAAGAAAAGCAATATAAGCCTAATACATGTGGAGGACCATCTGGATGAGTCTTCTTGAAAGAAGAGCAATTATCTCCATTTTAGGTAAACTTGGCCCTATTTCCATGTATTCATATGTACAGAGCTGGTTAGAACTTTTCCTTATCCCTTCAAGTTGGCTTTCAGCAATGCAAAGTGGTCCAACTGAGGCACTGATGTGTCGTCTTTGAAGCAAGGTGACAGGGTGTGTTTTCCTGCCCCTGTGCTTCCCAAAAAAATATGTGTAAGCTGGGGCAGGATGGAGAGCCATGCTTCATGCTGTTGGCTAGGATCAAGCCTTGAGATAAGAGGTTATGACTTCCCAGGGCATAAAAGATTACACATCAGAGTTGAGGCACGAACCCCAAAACATTAGATACTACAACAATTGTGTCATGCAGATCACTCTTTCTTCATATCCTTTTCTCTGCATACTGCAGAGGTGATTTCAGGCCTCCTACCTTACCCAGCTCACAGCACTCAGGTACCTCCTGCCATTCCCACAGTCACTCATCCTCAAGCCGCCCCCTTCTTCATGAATTAATAAAACTCAGCTTCAGCCCTGGGTCGAGGCCTTTGTTCCAGTTAGCCATTATCCTAGCTGGACTTAGGGTCCCCTTGACTCCCCCAAACTACAAATATGCCTTAAGGTCTTTATTCTTGCCATGGGTTCCACTGGAAGTGGTAGATTGGAATTAACTTGCTACAACTCTAGTATCTTTTCCATGGAATTACAAATATAAACTTCTCGGACCGAGACAAGGATCAGGAAGCAAGTCTCTATAAACACAAGCAGAGGAACATAAACAAAAATTAGAGCAAGACTGAAAGACATTAAAAAAGAGAAAAAATTGTAGAGACCAATCACATGGCTCTGGTTTGGACCTTGAATGCTGCTCAAAAGCCCCTGTGTTAAAGGGTTGGTTGCCAATCTGAGGTGCTATGGGCAGGTGGGGCTTCCTTGGAGGAAGACAGGCCACTGGGGACGTGGCCTTGAAGGGAACATTGGGACCCCAGGCCTCCTCCCCTCTCTGTTTATTCTTCCTGCTCACCATGAAGTAAGCAGCTTCCTCCTTCACATACTCTGGATCATAACTCCTGTGTCACCACAACCTAAGCCACAAGGTCAAGTGACACAGCATGAAATCTCTGAAACCATACGCCAAAAATAAACCTTTTCTCTTTAAGTTGATGATCTTAGGTATTTTGCCACAGTCCTTGAAAGCTGACTAACCCAGAAACCAGAAAGGGATTCTTCGGGAAGATCAATAAGATTGATCTCTAGCAGGCTAAGCAAGAAAAGAGAGGAGACACAAATAACTACAAGCAGGCAGGAAAGAGGCCGTCACCATTGATCTCATGGATATTAAAGGGATAGTGAAGGAGTATTATGAATAACTTTCTGTCCACAAAAAGCTAGTTAGATGAAACAGTCCAATTCCCTAAAAGACACAATCTACCAAAACTCACACAGGGAGAGGTAGATGATCCAGGTGGGCCCATATCTACTAAAGAATTTGAATTAATAACTAATAACCTTTCCAAACAGAAGGCACCAATCCCAGAATGGTGAATTCTATCAAATATTTAAGGAAGAAATGACATCAGCTCTCCATAATCTCTTCTAGAATACTCCCTAGCTCATTTGAGGAGAGGAACATAATCCTAATACCAAAGCTAGAGAGAAAGGAAAACTAGAGATCAACTGTCCCTCATGAATACAGATGCAGATCTTCAACAAAATGTTAGCAAAGTGAATCCAATGATGTATAAAGAGAACTAATTTAATATGTCTGTTTTAGTTACTTTTTTCATGGCTAGGATGAAATATCTGACAACCCCAAGTTAAAGGAGAGGTTTATTTTAGCTTATAGAGGTTTCAGTCCATAGCTGGCTGACTCTAAGGCAGGATAGCATGGCAGAGGAGAAACAGTCCACGGCAGGGCAGGCAGCAATTATCAACCTTCCTTCTGCTTACCCTTTTATTCCGTCCAGGCTACAAGCCTATCGGTTGGTGCCACCCACACCCAGGGAGGAACTTTTCATTATCCACTTCTGTAACTGTGCTGAACCCATCAGTGGACTAATCCAGTTATCACACCCATGACCCAGCCACCTCCCAAAAGCCCCACCTATGCGTGCATGAGGCTTTGAAGGGACATCTAACTGGGACAGAGTATGGTACCACGTAGCCCTAGCCCAGGAAATGATCAAAATTCTAAGGATGGTTGTTACTGAATGTGTATTGCATCAACTCAAAAATAAAACCATCCAGAGCTGGAAGCCACCTGTATGAAGTGAATGAACATGAACCGTGGATTATAGTTAGTACTAGTATCTTCATATTGATTCACCCATTGTATCAAATGTACCACAGCAATGCAAGACGTTAATAAGAGGCACACCCTATGGGGTGTGTGCGTGGCAGGGGAGAGAGGTGGGATGTACGAGAATTCTGTTTTACTTGCTCTGTTTTCTGTACATCTAAACCTTTTCTACAAAATAAATTCTACTTTGAAAACATTAGCTCTTTGGGCAATGCTACCCACCTCATCTTTATCCCTGTTCCTCCCTATTTCTATGGGTCACATTTTTTGAGCTCTAAGAATCCCAGAGACAAATTCTGTGTGGTGCATTATGGTTTTCTCTTCCCTGGCCCCATTTCTTTTGGATTCTCAAAAGCTGCTGAGCAGGAATGAAGATATCAGAGAAAGTAGAAAGGTTCAGATGAGTCCACCAAACAGAACCGGCCTCCGCATGTACTAGGCCAAGAGCCAGTGTCCAAGGCCTACCCGGCACTGCCAGCCCCCTTGGGATCCCACAGGCGCACAAGTGACATGTGCAGAAGCCAGGATGCTCGCACAGGCAAGTGCATGAGCCCCACCTGCTGAGCTGCCCTGCTATGCAGAAAACCCCTGCTCGGTTTCAATTCTTTTTTTTTTTTTTTTGATTTCTCTCCGGTACCGGGAACCGAACTCACGACCTTGCGCTTGCCAGGCAGGCGCTTTGCCGCTGAGCTAAATCCCCAGCCCCTCTGTTTCAATTCTTATCAGCAGCTGACATACTTTGGAAGCTTCCTGTGGACTGGGCCCTGCCGGAGCACTCTCTGCTCACTCC